GTTTTAGACCAGAAGAATCTTCCGACATGGGACTTGTTTATCCCTGCTATGATACAGCTTTTAAATTGTTATTATCGGCAAGATTTTGCTCTGCTGTATGGTGTCATATAACAGACTGTGATGAAACTTATAATTACTGGGAACCAGTGAGTTTATAATATAACTTAATTCAATTTTACATAAACTTAAAAATACTACAAAAATACTGAAATGTACACATTCTTTGCATCTAATATTTCTTAAAAAAATATTAAAAAGTAGAATTATTTCTTTTATGAAAACAATTAATCATTCCTAGAATATCTTCAGTAAGCAAAATGTTAACAAAATATTAGCAAAATATTGCAGCAGATTAGTATCAATTAAGTTTGTATTCTGCCAATAGAACTTTCCAATATAATTCAACAGAAATTGAGAAGAATTTACCATTTTGTAAATAAGGGTTTAAGGAATTATTTAATTGTAACAAATGGTATCATTTGAATAGTTATGCAATAACGGATTCTGTTACATTTGTGTTGTTATTCTGTCAACAAAATTTGTAGCAGGCATTTTACAAAATCTTTTCGATAGACTTGACTATTTTGCAATGTGAACACAACAAATTTCTCTCATTCTTTGATATTTTTAATGGATATAATACTTTGGCGCGATGCATTTTGTTATATCTGCATTATGTCTTATCTTAGAGTCATTTCTTGCTCTACGGAATAGGCCAGCAAACGTGGGAGTACAGTCCTGAATATGCCTTACGGTCGTATATGTATTTATTAATTCACATGGTACCAGCAAAAGTTTATCATTATCTATTGGAACCAAATCCCGCGTTAGTTTTCTATTTTACGCGATGCTTCCTCTCTGTGGGTTGTACATTATCTGAAGTATACTTTTACAAGTACGTTTTTCCCTTAAAACTAACACTTACATATTATGTAAGGATTGACACATTATTTTTTATAGTATAATTTTGTATTCTAGGAGTGTCTGTCGCGAATTTGGAATTCATGTGGCGAGACTTACATTTGTATTCCTTATTCTCAGCTCTGGGATGTATATCTCCAGTGCTGCGTTTTTACCATCGTCTTTTTCAATGTGGGTACAATTATTAAAATGAGAAATATATTAGTTACACTCGATACATTATTTATACATTGGATATTAATATTTATCATAGGTATCTGAGTACTGTTGCTACAGCAGCTTGGTACGCTCGCCAGTATGAATTGGCTATTTTTGCTACCGCTATCTCTTCGTTACTTGGATGGCCATTCGCTGCGCTGCTCGGGTAATTTTTATACTAACATGAACAATTTTGGTATTATACATATTACAACAGAGAAACTCATTTTCCTTACTTTACTTCTTAGGCTTCCTATCGCTATTGAAATGTTAATACATAAACGAGATTGGGTCAAATTCATAAAATGGGTCATTATATCTGCCATTGTAATTGTGATACCAATGGTATGGGTGGATTCCTTGTATTTTGGCAAACTTGTCATCGCGCCATTAAACATTATATTGTACAATGTTTTCACTAACCATGGACCTAATCTTTATGGCACTGAGTCGTTCAGTTATTACATCATCAATGGATTCTTGAATTTCAATTTCGTTTTTATTGGTGCATTATTCGCACCCTTAGGCTTAGTAAGAATAGTTCATACTCAATCTATTTAATAAAATCTCAGTTATCGCACATTTTCTGTGAACAGATACAGATTCTTCAACGAAACTTGAATAATTCTTTTCTAACTTGAAAGTTGGATTAAATATTGTATTTCTTTATCATTGATATTATAGTTTTTAAAGTTTTCTCGAAATTGATAAAATATTGTATGTATCTTTCCAAAAACTATAATTATATTTAAAGTTATTTAATTTTCAATAGAAAATGTACTAAATCAACTGAAAGTGCACGATAATTGCAATATCTTGTACAACACATGATTTATTTCAGCAGTATTTTAACTATAATTTATAGTTTTTAGCATGGCTGATCGTGCCAGCAAGACATCGTCCAAGAGACCGTTCATGTCTTTCTTACTGGTATTCATTAGCTCCTTTATATCTATGGATTCTTGTATTCTTCGTTCAACCGCACAAAGTACGTATAAAATACCATTGATAATATTATTAAGAGAAAAGTAAATGCATTTGAACATTACGTTTCTACATGTACCATGTATGTCTCACCAACTAAAAGGTTGCAACACTTTTTTTTAATGGATTTCGGAAGTCTGCTTACCGAGCGGTTGATTTTTACTTGTGGATCCGTAAGTAAAGATCAATCGCTCAGTGAGTAGAATGCATTTCAAAAACCATAAAAAAAAATCTGTTGCAATCTTTTAGTCGGCGAGTGTACAAGAAACGCTAAAAATTTTCTATTTTTCCACGATATTTAGATTGTTCAAATGTGCT